AAATTGGGACAGGTTGGGCCATTTATTAATTGTGTCAAATTTATAGCATCACAGTAAGTTTTGAGATCATCAGAGCTGGGCTTTAACCAGTCCCAATTTAGGTCCCCAACTATGACAACTTCATTATAATCAAGTTTAGACAAGCAATTTGAGAAAGAAGCCAGAGTGTCACTCAGAGCAGATGGAGGTCTGTAACAACTGACCAATGTAAGGAAGACTTCTTTCGACACTTCTACTTTTACAGCAAGTATTTCATACTGTCTGCACAGTGATTGTGAGAGTAACACACTTATATTAAACTTAGTTTTTGCATAAATAGCAACCCCTCCTCCTTTTTTGGGCCTATCAGTGCGAAACACATTATATCCATTTATGTAAATATCACTATCCGAAACAGACTTTTTCAGCCAGGTTTCAGATATTACAATTAAATCTGCATCAGTTGACTCAGCCCAGATCCTTATTGAATCAATTTTTGGAAGTAAACTGCGAACATTAAAATGTATTATACCCAGGCCAGGTGCATTTTTCAGATCTAGTGGAGTATCTAAACACCTAAGGCCTATATCTGGGCCAGGATTTAATTTCACATTTCCAGATATCAGCAAAAGTAAAACAATAAAGGATCTCAGTTTAGTAACTTTAGACAACTCATTTTTTGCACTGATTCTGCTGACAAAATCTGACACAGCATTTTCTGATAAAACAAAGTAGTCTCTCAAAAGTAGGATACTATATAGATAGTGTTTGATTCCAGAGTTGTTTGTTGGTAAAATAGTGCTCAGTACATGATTGTGATAGGACACTGTGTCCACAGCAGTTATAGAGGATGCTATCTGTGGTGAGTGCACCTGATAGAAATTTGAGTTACTCACCCAGCTCTGTTCACAACAGAGTACAATGAAACAGTATATTGCAAGTAGAAACTTCATTGTTTTAATGTTAAGCTACTGGCAGATCTGCTGCTGCAGCTTAGGCTGGTAACAGGAGTAGTTGGAATAGCACAGCTTGCAGAAAAGGTGAAGTAGGCCTCAGCTTGGGCCTGGCTTGGTGGTGTTAGCCTATTGTTGTTGTAGGCCAGCTAATATTTCAGCTGACAGAGTCTGGGCTTAGACTGGTGATGCCTGGGCCCGGCCTGGTGGTGTTGGCCTGCTGCTGGAGCCTGGGCTGGCCTGGCGATGCTGGCCTGCTGCTGGGGGCCTAGGCTTGGCCTGGTGGCATTAGCCTAATGTTATAGACTGAGCCTGACACATGTGGAGTAGGCCTCAGGTTTCAGTGCAGAGGTCTTAGAGCAGGTGGAATAAGTCTCAGATTGGCAGAGTAGGGCCAGTACTTAAAACAGTTTATAGTTTATAAAAACAACAACATAAAACTCAGTGGAAAATATAGTTAAAAATCCAATAAAATTACTAGTTTCAAAACAGACACTGAACAGAAACAATAGACATGCTGCCATCTTGGGTGCTGAAGACAGAGCTCCTGTCTTCAGCACCTGTATTCTCTTTTATCGTTTCCCCGGATGTAAATGACTACATTGGATTATAGAGAATAATGAGATTGTAATTTTATATCAGTGCTTTTTACAGATCAAATCCTTAACACTTCAGCTTTGTTTTGTAATGAAGTAAATATATATGTAAATAGCAACTGCACTGAATAACAACAGACGGGGGAAAAAAGCAGATTTCACATTTAAAAAGATATATTGACGATGGGAAAATCATTTTAGGACGACTGCTCACTGGAGTGAGTGCAAATCCCATTAATTTTTTCTTTTGTTTTAGTTTCAAAGGGCTGAACGGTTCTTTAATGTGGCACATGTTTATTTAAACAGGCACTTTTAATAGACTAAACTTAACCTTCACTAAGTCCCGCCCCCCGCAGACAGACTGGCCAATCATAATGTAGCATCGGGTCAACGACAACGCAGCTGTTCTCCATTAACTCTAATTTAATCCTTTCAGATTTTTCCTTCATTTTCAAGCTGTGTGCCTGTGCTGATAATGTGTTTATTTTAATTAATTTATTTCTTTTACTTTTTTTTTAAGCCAGTGTCTTCCCACTGAGGTGGGGCTTAGGAGAACAGCAAACCTCCAACATAGTGAAGGTAACATTAAACAAATAAACTTATGTGCCTTGCTGAACTTCACTTAATTACTGGTATATGGGTAGTTTTAGTTGAAACAGAACATTCATTGCAGAGATGTTGTTAGAATGCATTGGACTACTTCACCCAGAATAAACCAGTGTACCCAGCACTCAGCTGCCAGTTTATGGCTATTTTAAGCTAGGTGTACTTAGCTTAGCTGGTTTAAGATAGACGTCTGAAGCTTTAGCCAGGTGTAATGTTACCTTGCTAAAACTAGAAATTAACTATGATAAAAGCAATAATACATTTAAAAAAACAAACAAACAATACTTGACTTAATCAAGGGCAAACTGTAGTAATGGTAGCCTACTTAGTACTTATTTGCCAGTTCATGGCTATTTAAGCTAATGCTAGGTGTAAGCTTTAGCTTAGCTAAGGTGTACCTAGTTAGTTCACAGCTAGTTTGAGCTAGGAGTCTGAGGCTTTAGCCAGCTGTACCTAGCCAAAACTAAAATTAATTATGATATAAAGCAATAATAAAGAAAACAGCAATAATAAAGAGTTGACTTTACCAAGAACAAACTAGTGTAATTTTTCCTAGTACTTAGTTGCCAGTTTGTGGCTATCTTAAGCTAACGCTAGATGTACTAAGCTAAGGTGTAGCTAGTTAGTTTATGGTTAGCTTTAGCTTGGAGTCCGAAGCTTTAGCCTGGTGTATCTAGCTAAAACTAGCAATAAATTATGATAAAAAGCAATAATAAAGAGTTGGCTTTACCTAGAGCAAACTAGAGGAAATGTTAACTGCACCTAGTACGTAGTTGCCAATTCATGGCTAATTGAAACTTTTGCCAGGTGTACCAAGCTAAAACTAGAAATGAATTATGATAAAAAGCATTAATACAGAAAAAGCAATAATAAAGAACTGAGTTTACCTAGCACAAACTAGTGTAACTTTACTTAGTACTTAGTTGCCAGTTCATGCCTCTATTAAACTAACATTAGTCATACTTAGCTAAGGTGTACCTAGTTAGTTTATAGCTAGTTTTAGCTAGGAGTCTGAAGCTTTAGCTCAGTGTACTTTGCAAAAACTAGAAATTAATTATGATAAAAAGCAATAATAAAGAGTTGACTTTACCTAGAACAAACTAGTGTAACTTTATGTAGTACTGAGTTGGCAGTTCATGGCTATTTCAAGCTAACACTAGATGTACTTAGATAAGAAATAGAATAGAATAGAATAGAATAGAAAGAACTTTATTCATCCCAACGGGAAATTCAGTTGTCCAGCAGCTTATAAAAAACAACAGGAACCACACTTCCCCTCATCAACAACAACAACAACAACAACAACGACACAGTGATATTAAAAAAGACATAAGTAAAATAAGTTAAAATAAGTGCCTAAATAGAAATTAGAAATCAAATTAAAATGGCTCATTCCAGTTCCTAACATTACGGCTAACGTAACAGCCTTAAGGTGTATCTAATTCGTTTATGGCTAGCTTTAGCGTGGAGTCCAAAACTTAAGCTAGGTGTACCTGGCTGAAACTAGAAATGATTTCAGTTCAATTTTCAATTCAGTCATTTATTTGTTACATGGAATTGTATGAATACAAGTACAGTGAGATGTGATCTTATCAGCTGGTGGCTAACAGCAGCAGAGGCAGTGAAGATCCTTGTGTATCAGACTGTAATTGAATTACTGTATAATGTGTACTGTTGAATCTCTCATATTTTTATGTACCTGTTGAACCTTTGTTAGTAGTGTTTGTCTGTAGTCCTGCTGGTCCCAGGGTAGGAGTTATAGGAGGGGGTGGGAAGGGAATGGGTATTTAAAGGAATGCTTGGCAATGCATTGTTTTGCACATTTTTGATTGCACTTTGTTTTGCCAAGAGAGATGGGAATAAACATTTGATCACACCAAGACAAAGTAAAAAGCTGAACCCACCTTCAGTTACAGCTGCTTTGTTTTCTTGTAATCCTTTAGATTCTGATGGAAGCTCTGTCTGGGATTTGGATAGAAGAATGCATTAGGAGGATGGTGGCTGCACCTTTTCAAAGCTGTGTAGGGTGGTGAGTGACTTTACAGGATGCTATTTTAATTGGTGTATTAATGGCAACAGTTGTATTGAGGGCAGGTGGCCAGTAGTAGTGGTTTACCATGGAGCCTACTTCTGGCCCGTGTGGTTGACTTTACAGTGTTTTCTCAGAATATTGTATAACAGGTTGCAATATTTGGAGACCTTACAATGGACTGGAATTTTTAAAAAATATAAAATGCTATTTTATTTATCATAGCACAACAAAACACAGACAGGAAAACATTTATAAGGACACAGATGTTTAATTTTATTGTTATATAACTTGTAACAAGCATTAACTTTAATGACAAAAATGAACATGAAGGGAAAAAAGAAAAGAATAGCATTTCTCAGCATCCAAAAGTCATGGAAAGTATAAAATAAAAAGTAAAGTCATTTGGGATAAAAAATGTCCTTCATCTTTCCCAGATAGAATTAAGTTTCATTGACCTTAGGAATTATTTAAGTGTTAGTGTTAGTAAGTCTTCATCATTCATGGCCAGTAAACTTATTGCAGTAATCTTGAATCACACAAACAAAATGCAAAAAAGACTTCAATAAAGAGTTTTCAGTATCCCAAAGTCATGGCAAATACTTACAGATAATTTCAGGATATTAATCACTTTCATCTTAATATCTTAATCACAAGTCATCCCATGGCAGTCTATTTACATCCTGTTTCATAGTAAACATTTTTGAACTCTCGCTAACAATAACATTTTGATTAGGAATTAGGAATTATCCAAAATTGAATAACATGTCATTACCAATTATTTCTCAGATGTATACTTATTATACCTCATACTAGTAGAAAAGTCATCACAGTGATATTAGTAATTGACAGGAATTAAGTACAGCTACAACTACTATTTTTTAATTTTTTTTTTGATCTGCTGCAACCCCAGATTACTTCCAGACGTCCTTTACTGTCTTTTCTATGGCTTCCCCAGGACTTTCTGCTCCTTTAGCTGCATCATATCCCCTCTGAGCACCCTTTATTGCCCCCCTTAGAGCAGCCGATGCAGCCCTTTCTCTTGCTGTTGAAGCTTGTGCCGACAAATCTGAAAGATCCTGAAAATTTCCAAGAGCTGCTGTGACCATCTCCGCCATACCAAGCAAAGCTCCTATCAGTATGCCAGTTGCAGTACCGGCTAATCTGGTCAATAACTTGTCAAAAACACTTATTCTAGCCTTATTTCTCCTCTCTACCTGTGACATGTTTCCGAATGACTGTCTAATGTGTTCTTCCTCTTGTTGTATTTGTCTCTCACATGCTTTTAGCATCTCATTGGTGTAGCAGCTTCCATTGTTTGTCTCAATCACCCTGTCTATTGTGTTGAGAAGCTCTGCCACCTGGAACTGGTTGCGTCTGTAGTCGTCCTCTTTGCTGTTCTCCCAGTATTTATTATCAACAACATGGCACCGGCCTCCGCACTTCTTCACCAGGTCACTGAGATCTATATTCTGACCAACAAACTCCTCAATTTTCATCCCTTCCGGGAGCTGGTCACCATGAGTGAAGACAACCACAGCATATTTTAAGGCATCTTCAGAGAAATATTGGCATATTTTTTTGATGACTTCCTTCTCCTGCTCTGTGAATTTCTCCACTTTAAGCACAATGAGAAAAGCATGAGGCCCAGGAGCGCACTCTGTGATACACCTCACTATCTCAGCCTTGAGCATTTTCTCCGACCCACATGTGTCAAAGAAACTGTGAGTGTCGATCAAAGTGATGCTTCTCCCATTGACAGATGTGGTCTCTGCATGAGAAAGACTTTTCTCAGAGATGGGAGAGTGGCTTATCCTGAACACATCCTCTCCCAGTATGGTGTTAGCCAGGCTGCTTTTCCCAACTCCAGTTTTCCCCAGTAGGACAATCCTCCTTGAAGTTAGCACTAGAAGACAATAATGACTCAGTATTAAGCAAAGTAAATTTTATTTGTACTTGTTCGTTTAACTTGTCCTTTTGGTTCTAAAAGTGTGTGTGTGTGTGTGTGTGTGTGTGTGTGTGTGTGTGTGTGTGTGTGTTGGGCTGCAATAGACACTTATATTTTAGTACTGATGAACCTTCTGATTATTTTCCTCATTTAACTGATTATTTGTCTGCAAACTCAGAAAACAGATATAAATGCCAAGCGGTGATTCAAGCCAAAAGCTACCATCAGCATGCCAAAATGTTTACAGTGACAAAGTCATCATGCTGATGTTTAGCAGGTCACAGTGTTTATCATGGTGACATCTTACTTTAATGTGTTAGCACTAAACACAAAGTACAGTATGTAATATTTTAACGCCTAAATTAACCAGCCTGCTCTCGCCAAAAAAAATTGAAGACCATATAGGTCGACAAAGCTTGTGCAAGCAGCTTATTATGCCCCATACTTTTTAATTTAAGGATGTATCCTCTAGTGGCTGCAGTAATTTTTACAGGAGCAGAAGAGAAGGTGACATGACCTAGCATGTTGGAGATTCATATCATCAGCTGAAGACCCCTCAGTCGAGTGAGATTGCTTCAATTTTAGCAGGTTTTTTTTCTCTTTTCGTTGTGGGAACGTTTTGGTCCCCAGATCTTGCTGCGAAGTGAGCGCTCTTGACATTCATGACACTCTTTGATACAGATGCAGTAGCTCAGAGGAGGAGAAACTTTACATGGTGAGGCTCCCTAGGTAACTTTATCTTTTCTGCTTAGAGGTGGTGAATTTACAGCGCACACCAATTAAATATGACACAGTCTCTGGCTTTTGTTTGATATCTAGTGTTGGCAAAATATGTTGTCGGACATTTCCGAACTGTCATTAGCGTCGTTAACCCGTTCAAACTGTAAAAAGCATTAAAAGCAACAAAGTCTGCGTAATGTTTTACGAAGAAGAAAAAGCCCATGTTAGCTGTGTGGGAGGGTGTTAGATAGGTCAGTCAGACTTGGGACTTTCACCCGGGAAACCAGTGTCTGTGCCCCAAACTCATCGTTGTCTTTTGTAAATAACAGTGTAGCCTCGTATGCTAGTATGTCTAACATGCTACGCAGGTGACTAGGGATGCATGCGATTAGATGTCTAAACGATTAAATGTCGGCCCCCTCGCTAGTCGGCACCAGAAATATTAGTCGATTAAACCAATAAGGTTTTATTCATGTACAAGGCTACTTAACTGTCCTGCAGCTGTGCGCCACTAGTGGGTGCTACAGAGCCATCAGACAGCAGTCAGGTTGGAGCACATTCACCATAAAATGAGTGTTTTCCTGTTTTTTAAGACTAGTCGACTAGTCTTAATTAAAAGTTTCGTTTAGTCGACAGGGAAATTTGTCACCAGGAACGTCCTTGCAAGTGACATGTGACATGTCTTATGTAATGTCTGTCACATGACATACATCATGTTGCATTAGCGAAACAACGTACTTATTAAATGCCAAACCATGATGTGTTTCCTAAACCTAACAGAATATTTCTGTTGCCTAAACCTAATCAGGTAGTCTGGGAGGACTGTTTTATGACGTTAAGTATGTGTTGGAAACTGCGACAGAATGGTGATATTTATTGTTTTCGAAATCAGTGGAAATTGACCCATTCTGTCATTTAAGTATGAGAGAGAATCTGAATGAACACAAATCTAACATAAATACAGTAAAATACATTGCTCATGGTTACAGGTTTTTCCTCTGTATGTATGCATTTACTCTGTTATAAATACATGAAAAACATAGGTTAAAGACAATTATTTAGCTTTATATATCGTACAAAGGAAATACACATAACAATATGTCTTATATGTTCACTTGTTAATTTTTGTTTAGGTGTTTGAAATCATCCAGAGTACAGCTGAGGTTGATGGGAATGTCATAAACCACATTACTGATCAAGTTAGATTTTGGCCTGATGATGGCGCCACATGAAAAGTTAAGGGATCATCAAAGTGATTACAATTCCCTGCTCAAATATCTGAAACTAAACATCTTAAACTGAAGTATCGGTTTCTTTTTCTGAATATGTGGCAGAATCTTGTACAGCATGTCACTCAGTGTTGACACTGATAACATGTTATAAATGAAACTAAGTTCATCTACTTCAGCACTTTTCATAAGTACAATTTTAGTTAAATTTTTATTTCATTTCATTCTACTTTATTTCCCGCTGAAATGTAGTTAAGTAGATGAATAGTGTGCTTTTTACTCCACCACATGCATCTGACCTAACAAAACACTATGAAATTATGATGCACTGTTACCCAACGTTACACACAGTAATTAATGGCAGCTCCACCTCGACCAGCCACAACGGTAAAATGCTGCTTACACATTCATTCATCACCAGTAACGATTAACTGATAACCAGATATTGTTTTTTCTACTTTAAGTACGTTTTGCTGTTAATACTTACACACTTTCACTTAAGAAACAGTTTCAACACAAGACTTGTAATTAAGTATTTTTACATTGTGATATTGCTTCTTTTACTACATACAGTAAAGAAATGAGCTCAACTCACCGTCCATGTTGCCAAAAACAGAAATCACTGTCGTCCCTCAGGGTGCTGAATGTCCTGGCTGGATGTGTCTCCTCCTGCTCTCTTGCTGTAGTTTGACTGTACTATTATTTTCTACCGGTTTGACTTGTTGATCAGCCGGACCCGAGCAGTGGAGCATGTTACATATGAAGCACCTGATGCAGACCATGATGATACAAAATATGTCAAAGAATATGCAAAAATGATCAAATTCGTGTTAAATGCAATTAACTGTTTTAGTTTTACACATTATACTGTATATATATATTACTCATTCAAAAACAAATTATTAAATGGCATTTTTTTTAATTACTAAGGTAATAAAACTAAATAAAAAAGGAAAATAGGAAAGAATTAACCATGAGTGAAAGATTTGCAGATTGATGGGTTGGAAAGGTGATATAGGGGGTTGACCGCTCAGCAGCGCAACCAATTAGAGCTTTAAAGAAGAGGGAGACCTATTATGTTCATTTTCAGTGCCATATCTGTATTTTAAGTTTTAATAGAACACATTTACAGGCTTTAATGTTCAAAAAACACTTTATTTTCCTTATACTGTCTGTGCTGGCACACCTGTATTCTCCCTATGTGAGAGGGCTCTGTCAGCGCCTGTCTCTTTAATCCCCGTTCCCTAGAAAGCCAAGTCTGCTGTGATTGGTCAGCATTTCCAGGTCTTTCATATCCCAGCATCTCTGCACCGTCATTGCAGCGAGAGTTCTGACTGTGCCTAAAAAGTAAGCCCTGACCCTACATGAGCCTTCACAGTTTCTGTCCAAGCTCGACCCATGGCTGCAGTTTGGAGCCAGAGGCCGATTAAAAACATGAATTTCTACTGTATAAAATGAATTATATTTTATGTATTATAATATATGTTTTAGAGGGATACATGATAATATTGGCACGTCATCGGTCTCGACTGATGTCGGCTTTAAAATGAATTGGCCAACATGTTTTTTCTTGGTTTGCACAATGAGTGAATTTTATATACGTTGAGAAAGCGTTCTGTTTCATGTCTCCATCTGCTGGTGGGCCATCATAAGAAGAGTATGCATCCATAATATGATGTTAATTCCACTACAAAAGAGACTTGATGATCACTTAAAATTAGGTAGGGTAAATAGTGGATATATCGATATCAGTTGCAGTTATTGGCCAAATAAGTTATTTTATACTGGCATATTGGGGGTATAACTAGGGGTCTACTCACTTGTGTTGCCAGCTGTTTAGACAATAATGGCTGTGTGTTGAGTCATTTTCAGTGGAAAGGAAATCTATACTGCTGTACAAGCTGTACACTGACTACTCTAAAGTATATCCGAGTTTCATTTCTATAGCATTGTCCCTTGAGAAGATATAATAAAATGGTTGCTGAAATGTGAGGGGTGTACTCACTTTTGTGAGATACCGTACATAAAACACCAAATACGGAAAAGCATACCAGGTCCCCTTTAAAATCACTTCTAAAGGCAAATTGGAAGCCGGTGTCAGGGTGCAAGGTTTGGTAAATGTAGTTGTTTTTCCGTCGCAGTTATAATTCATTCTACGCTATTTTGAACAAGCCTCAGACACGGAAGAAGTGTTTCACTGATTCCAGTAAACATGGCATTACATAAATAGAACAAGGTAATGAGTGCATGAATGACAGTTTCCAGATAAGCAGGTTTAAGTGGAACCTCTTGTGATGCAGAGGCCAATCAGACTTTGCTGTCAGCTGTTAACGGTAGTGACTGTGGTTGGGAAAGTACAGGTAGAAAAGAATGTTATTTGAATTAGTTAATTAATGGCAACAGTTGTATTCAGCTGGCCAGCATAAACAGGGTGTGTAACGAGAATAACATGGCATTAACTGAAGCGGTCTGACTCTGCAAGTCAGCTGACAGATTTTGACCGGGATGTAATTGCATAATTTGTGGTCATTTTACAGAAAACCATTGGCAACAAGTAAATCCAGGTACAATAGATATAATGTGGGTCCCTCACAAGCATAGCTACATTCACTGCCTTCAAAGCTCCATATTTCCCATCACTAAGTATGATTTAAAACTCTGTGTTGGGAAGAAGTAAGCGTTTTCATCAAGGAGAGTACTTCAAAACTAATCTTAATGGATTCTAAGCTTTTTCTGTCGGGCAAGATCATGTTTTGGCTTAAAATACCCAGTTTGGGGGAGCACAATTTTGGCAGCAAATGCAGCAATGTCTTGCCAAAAAACAACCACTTTTCATGCCAAACATCTACATTTAGTGCCTTAAAAGCCACTAAGAAAAGAAGCGATGGGTGCTTAAAAAGTAAACACAGCAATTTTTTGTTGCTCCTTTTATTGCTTTTAAAATTTTGCATAAAAATATTGTGGGTGAAAAAAAAACAACAACTAATTGTCATGAGGCCATTTTACATTTAAATATCCTGCAGCATTAGGTGTCTTGTTCAAGGCATCAAGAATATCATATATAATAGATCACTCAGTCTATTACATTTCTTGTATAAACAAAAAAAAGAGGATGGCAGCTGCACCCTTTTCATACCTGATTAGGGTGGAGTGTTTTCATCTGTGAGTGAGACAGCTGAAAGGAATTTTTATCTGATTTTTTTTGGCAGCACCCACCTGCAGGGAATCAACTGTACAAGGAAACAGACTGAAAACAACAAGGCCTTTGTGTTTAAAGTGTGGCATGTAGCCACATGACTTCTTTCTTGTTAAATAATGAAAGGGGTTTAATTTATTCTGGTTTGTAAGAATATCACAAAATAAAAATTATAGTTGTTGACTGTTTTTTGGGCAACCTCAGGAATTCAGATTGCGTTTACATTGCAGGTGACTATGTTCTCTGACTAAAAAGCTATTAGTTCATTTGTTGGGGTATTTTCAGAATAATTTAATACCCATTTGTTGCTCTTGTAAGTATTTACAGCAGCAGGATGATGTACTATAAAACTTAATTTAAAAGCCTAGTCCCAATTAGATGCCCAGTCCCTTTCACTAGCCCAGTGTGGCTACACATTTTGACAAATAAACACGTCTCCATTAGATATTTGGTCTGCCAAACAGGTCATGTTTTTATAGAAGCTCTTCAGATGTATTAAATCTGGGATGTCGACTACCTCAGATTATGTTTCCATGACTTGATTAACAGTTTGTGTGAGAGGAATTAAAGGCCTGTCCCAAATAAAGGCCAGTTGAGTTCAGCAATTTAAACTAATTGAAGTTTTACGGTATGTGGGGTTGACTCAAAATAAAATACAGTGCCCATGTTCGGGATGATAAAGGAACAGTTCACCCACCGCAACGGTTTCCCATAGTTTTTGGCCAGCAAAGGAGCTCTGTAGGCTATATCAGGTTTTGGCTACATAGTCTTTTTAGCAAAAGCAATTTATTGTTGGTTTTGGTCTTTAAATGGAATTTCTTGACTATAAGAAAGTATGAGTATCATCAGCCTTATCTTTTGACAGCGCATGTGGAGGATTCTATGAAAAAAGAAAACAAAAGCCTATGACCAGTCAGAGGTTTTATTGTTACATAAATCATTTATGACAAAATGACACATATTAACACAAAATATACTGAGAAAACAGAAAATCATCACCATTAAAGGGTACACCCATGATTTAGTATTGCACTTCTATAAAGTTTTGAGGACTTACAAGAGACCGATTTAAAAAAAAATCAAAGCAGAGACAGAGATCGTCAGACTTCTTGTCTGCAGTATGAGTCATGAGTCTTTCAATAAAGGCACTCCTTGCCCTCTAAATGTCCACATCTTTAAACCCCACACCTCCAGTTTGTAATGCGAGCATTTTAAGTATCAAGCAAAAACAATTATTTTTCACACTTTGAAAACTCTTCTATACACGGAAGACATCGTACAACAATTTTTACAGTCTGAGTAGTGCTCCATAAGACGAGTAAACTGAATTACACATGTACAGTTATTGACATGCCCCTTTAAAACACCATGACCCAACAATTATTTTAGAGTCGTGATCAAACTGAATGTGCCAGAAACATATATATTTACATTTCTAATACATTGTCTGAATATTGTTTGCTACCCCTGCTTATTCACTCAGTGCTTCAAAGTGGCTCTCTTTTCAGTTGACAGGAACTAGTACAAAGTTTAAAGCACAGATGCAATGACTTATTTGATTTTTTCATTCATTTTGTAGCTTACACCAGTGTTTCTCAACCTTTTTCATGTCAAGGGCCCCTGAATTGATACACATTAGGTCTTGGAATCAAATTTGATAAGATTTGGCTTCTGAAAAGGTTTTGGTTGTCAAATATGATTAGGACGAGAATTCTGTAATTGAGGAGATAACCATGGAGGAAGTGAAACCTATGATCACAACAGTTACTCTTATGACTCTTTCTCACATTGAGCTCACTTTTAGAGTGAATTAAACAATGAAAATAATCAACATGTTCTCATCTCAAGTCATCACATATCGTAGCTCTGTCAGTGGCCTTTCACGTCTACATATTACGAGCTAGGTATCCTCCTTTGTCTGCTGTTGACTTTCCGGGACGCCACAACCAACGTGGGATATCAAGAGTACAGAGTTAGGTTTAGGCAACAAAAGCATGTGGTTAGGTTTAGAAAAAAAAACTGTCATGCTCTATATCCATTCAGGAAGTGTACACCGGGCTCCAGGGTGAAAGTCCGGGGTTTGTTGGACCCATCCACCACCACTCCCACCCACCCTACAGGGATGTTCCAGCTCCTTATATTACATTGTTACTGGCAGCGTTTCAACCCGTCGCCATACAGCAGGGTATCAAACCACCACTCCAGTTGCATCCAGCTGCATTATGAACTGACGCCACATGTCAGCGTATCATGCTGCCGCAAAAGATGCTGTCCAGCTGACCAGTTGCGTATCATAACACTGGGAAAGGTGCCATCTGGCCACATGTGAAACTGATGTTGCCTGGTGGTGCATTATACAAAAGGTGGTCATATGCCAAAATCACTGACAAAGCAGCAGTATGTGATGACTTCAGAATGGGAACCGGCTGAAATAATCTATTTACCATTTTTCTGGGGACCCATGGGACTCCTTCAAGGACCAGTGGGCGTCCCCAGACCGCTGGTTGAGAACCATTGGTTTACACGTTCAGCAAAAATGATAGTACTTTAAATGAGCTGTTTAGGATTGCAACATGTCATGTCATATGTCATTTTGAACCTCTTTGAAGACACCTGCTGTTTTATTTTATTCATTCAAATGGATTTGTAGGATTGTATGTTCTTTCAAACAATTTGAAAAGTTTGTCCAAAAACTCAAATAAGTGTCCTACTGTACTGGCTGGCGGAGACATGCCTAAAGCTGCCTCAGCTTGTTCTTTCACCACTTCTGCCAATGCTGGTGCTGTTAATTCTTCATTTAATAGTGGTGCTTCCCTTAATACCCTAAAATGTTTTGAATTGATCAACATAGCTGAGGCAGTTGCAAGTAATCCAGCTACAACTGCAAAACCCACTAAACTTCTAATCCATGCCCAGACTCCATTGTTCACCTGCTTCTTAAAGACGTTGCTTCTGGCCTGCTTCCTGATCTCTTCCGCTGACAAGTTTTCTGATGACTTTCTAATGCGCTCCTCCTCTTTCTGTATTTTCCTTTCCACTTCTTGTAGCTTTTCATCCGTGTAGTATCTTCCGTTGTTTTCCATCACCATCTTGTCTATGGTCTTGAGCAGCTCTTCCACCTGAAACTGGTTGCTTCTGTACTCGTCCTCTTTGTTGGTCTTCCAGTATTTATTATCGACGACGTGGCATCGGCCTCCACACTTCTTCACCAGACCACTCAAACCCTCACTTTGCTTGACATACTCATCCATTTTCATTCCTTCAGGGAGCTGGTCACCATGAGTGAAGACAATTACAGCATAGTTTAGAGCATCTTCAGAGAAATATTCACATATTTGCGTGATGACAGCCTTCTCCTGCTCTGTGAATTTCTCCACTTTAAGCACAATGAGAAAAGCATGAGGCCCAGGAGCGCACTCTGTGATACACCTCACTATCTCACGTTTCTCAGATCTCTCTGTGTCAAAGAAACCAGGAGTGTCGATCACAGTGATGCTTCTTCCATTGATAGTTTTGGTCTCGGCAGGAGAACATTGTGTTTCCAAATCATTCAAATTGTTTATTTTGAATTTAGCCTCTCCCAGTATGGTGTTAGCCAGGCTGCTCTTTCCAACTCCAGTTTTTCCCAGTAGGACAATCCTTCTTGTGTTTGGCACTAGAAGAGAATAATAAATTATTACAGTGCCCTTGGTTGTGTGTTTTTCTCTGTTTCATTTTTTGTGAATTTTTACACACTTTAAAATACCCAGAGTAAAGGAAAACTCAAAATCAGATCTCGTCTTTGTCCATCCTATTTCTCCGAGAAATAACTGAGCTCAATTTGTTATCAATATGAGATTTTGACCATTTCCTCATACTTCTTAAATTCAGCTCCTGAGAAATGGCTGTCCTCCTGTCTCCTCAGAGGAAAACTGGCTGCTCCCCACAATGTTTTCTTTGTCCTATCATCTTATCGTCTTCCTATTTGAAGATGACTAAATTCTGATCTGTTTCGCCAACACATTCTCACACCAACCTCGTCACATATTGACGTTTGGTCATGGACTTTCCATGTCCACATACGATGTGAAAGGTAACCTAGCTGCATTGGTTGTTGACGTTCTTGGACGCCATGTTAACCTCAGCCTGTTACATGCATTGTCTGATTTCAAAATATACTTATGTTCTCACAGGAAATGTACCATTTACATACAGTCTCCTTCAAAATAAACTCACTACATCGTTACAACACCTCAAATTGATGTTTTTTTTTCCTTAAACAAAAAATGCATGTGGTTACATTTTGCCAACACGCATGTGGTTGGGTTTAGGAAAAAAGAACAAGGTTTGGCTTTATAATCTTACGGGAAGCAAACATGCCTCTCCTAGGTGAAAGTCAGTGGTTGTTGGACCCATCCACCACCCCTCGCCCTACTCAAACTTCCGCCCCCTCCACTCTCATTGTTGTCCTGCTGCTTTTTCCCCAGATGCTGCCGGGCACCATTAAACAATAACTGCTACCAGCTGCATATTATGCCGATGTGAAAGGACGGCTTTTTTTCCGACACTGACCACGCGACAGGTTTCGACAACTTCGGAGTGAGACAGGGTTGGTTTCTCCTAACCACCCCGATTCAGCTATAACATTTGAATTAGATGAGACACAAATGCATGCTTGGTGTCTATTTTATGGGTTTTGACCATAAGAAAAACATTGGAATACTTATTTTTATGATTGGATGCGCCATAACCTCTTAATTTGCATATTTCCAAGATGGTGGCTACCTGACTCTGTTTCATATTTTGGAAAATTCTGTTCTATTTTGGCCTGTTTTAAATGTTGTTTAGTTCCAACTCCCACTGTATGAGTAAATCATCGGGGATTTATAGCCAAAGCTCATGATTTGACCTGAGTGCTCATATGATGCGTGTAAAATAGACAATTAAATGGTCTATCCAACCCTACGGACTGTTGTGGGTATCAACAATTGTCAATAAATATTAGTTTGAAAGCTCCAGGGCTGCAGGCAGGTAAAAGTTTGTTTGCCAGTGGACATACAGTTCCAAATAATGTACAAACAGATGTGACAGAAATGATATTAAACAAACAAAACAAAAAGGTATTTTATCTTTTCGAGCTAAAATATAAAATGACTGCCTCTATAGATTTAGGATTAGTTAGTTAGGATTAGTTTGAGAATGTATGAGAAAGTATTTGGTGCTCACTGTCAACACAATAGCAGAAAACAATAAGCTTAACTTACCGTCCATGCTGTAAATGGTGGAAATCAGCGCAAAAAAGGACCCAGATCCACGAGACGTCTCTACTGTGAGTCTTTTCTCTTGTTTTCTCGCTCTGACTTGCCTCTTGCTTTGTTTTTTTCTGACCTGTCTGACTTGTTTCTTGGCTTCGGGCTGATGGGATGATTAACACACATTGCACCTGTTTTTCATTGAAGTAAGTCATGTAGGCATCGATTTACTGCAACTTAAGCACCAGAAATAGGAATGGTCCCCCATAAATGGCTACATAACAAAAACGTTGTCACAATATGGGACAGAAATGTTCAGCAGTTGTTGAAAATTTGACCAAATGTTTGAGTGTTTATGGGGTTTTTTTGTCAAGGAAAGCAATAATGTCACCCTGAAAATGGTGTCCATGATGGTCATCCTTTGCACAAGTGTAATTTAACTTTTGAACATGCATAGGCTTTCTTAAATGCATACAGAGCCTTGTAAACACACTTGTGAATATATGGCTTTAACATTTTGAAAAAGAGTTGAAATTGTGAAAAAGTTTATTTAAGTGTTGATACTAATTAATTAATGTTGGCTGTAATTTTCAACCTTCTCTGCAACCAACTGCAACCCAGTATCATGTGTTAAATCAGATTTGTATCCATAGTAACTTAAAGCAAAAACAAACAAACAGCTGTGTGCGATGGTTGATCCATTCATTAGTCTAGTTTCTGTCACTGTACAAAATTCACGTGGACTAAACTCCTTTTATAAAAATGGGTGCCCTTAGCTGAGGGATGAATGAAGATGGTTTAATAAAAAAAAGGCACTTGGAAACACAGGTGGAATTTGCTGATTTATTGATTAATAGTTAACTCTGTAACAAAGAAAACATACCAAAAAAGAGAATCAAAAGTAACCTTACAGTTATGGCCCAGACAATTTATCATCATTATCTCTGAGATATACTGAAGAATGAATAATAACACAATGGCTTTTCCTTAAATCACACACAGAGGTATGTTAATACAAAAAAGAAAGAAAGCAAATGAATAGTACTCTATCAATATTTGTCAAACTACAGTAGATATAACAAATTCAATATACAGTGCGTTCATATTTTAACAGTCAGCCTGCAACAAAAACTTTCATGGCAGACGTCTTGTGTTTAAACAAACCCAATCATCAGAATAAATGTCGGCATTGAATCTTAATGCAAACCCTATATGTAACATTTGTATTTTGTTTTCCCCCTACACCTCACAGTGACAGATCTGCCCCATATACATATAACTACATCTCTGTGGACACGTTGATTTGATACATATAAAATGTAATGCATCAATCGTTAGCAGAAACGTACAATGCCAACATGCCACAACTGGCGACTGGGCTGTGTGAACATGTGCTGAAGTCTGACGTAAAGAAGAGTATAAAATGCATTTCAGTCCCAGTTCTCATTGTTGTTCGTAATTGTAGTGATTCTGTGAATACAGCAACTTTTGCAATTAACCGTAACTTTTTGAAGCAATGACCAGTTAACCATTAATAAAACAATAACCCCATAACAGAACATGATATAGAAATCATTTAGGTGATTCTTAGAAATCTGGTATTTAGTCCCAAACCTCTTTTTACCTTACAGATGTGTGCTTCGGCTTTGCAATTTCAGCTGCCTCTGCTGTGAATCAGCTTTGTTAGCTCTATCACTTCATATAAAACCCCCTGCTGCTGCTGCTGGTATTCCCCAGGATTCATTGCTGCAGTAGCATGTTAAGTTACTGCACGTCCTGCTTCTGTTCCCATCACTAGTACTAATGCAGTTGTAAGTCCTTCTTTCATCTTTTTCCCACCAAGGAAAATTCCCAACAATACTACTGCTGTAACACCCACTATTGCCAAGACCCAACGCTTCAGAACTGCGCTTTTAGCCTGCGCTCTGATTGCTTCCTGTGACATCTCGGGAAATGAATCTTTAATTTTTACTCCCTCTTGTAGTATTTGTCTCTCACATTCTTGTAGCATCTCATTGGTGTAGTAGTGTCCATTATTATCCTCAATCATCTTATCTATTGTCTTGAGGAGCTCCTTCACCTGGTACTTGTTGTTCCTGTATTCATCCTGTGGGTTGTTCTTCCAGTGTCTATTATCAATGACATGGCAGCGGCCTCCGCACTTCTTCACCAGATCACTCAGACCTGCATTTTGATCGACCCACTGCCTGATCGTCATTTCCTCAGGAAGCTGGTCACCATAAGTAAAGAGAACTGTGGCATATTTTAGAGCATCTTTAGAGAAATATTGCTGCAGTTTGTTGATGATGTCCTTCTCTTGCTCTGTGTATTTCTGCATTTGAAGAACAATGAGAAACGCATGAGGCCCAGGAGCGCACTCTGTGATGCACTTCAATATCTCAGGTTTCAGCCTCTCCTCAGATTTCTCGGTGTCAAAAAACCCAGGAGTGTCTACCCACGTAATGCGTCTTCCATTGACTGATTTCGTCTCTGCTTGACATTTACTTGTTCCGGAATTAGGTCCATCGTCTGTCTTGAACACAGTCTCACCAAATACTGTGTTGGCGAGGCTGCTCTTCCCAGCTCCAGTTTTTCCCAAGACCACAATCCTTCTTGATGATGCTAGAAGACAATAATGACTCTGTGTCAGTGATAGTCATTACTCTAGTTTGTCTCTGGATTTGCAGTAAAAATACAGTAAGAAAAGTAACTCAAAAGTAGGTCAACTTTGCTGACAATCACCTCGATAATCTGAACTAAGTGTTCAGATGAGGCTTACATGTCTATATCTTTGGACATGAATATTGTAGGGTTAAATAGATTGCTGTCTTACCTTTGAAAATTGAAATAATATCTGCAACATATATGATATTGATGTATATATGTAATATATTAAAGGATTAATCAGGAATGTGCGTGATTAGTTGAATCGGCACCAGAGATATTAGTCTTATAAACTTTTTATTATTCTATGTGATTGCAGTTACTAAGGTATATTATTTTCGGTAAATGTTCTTTGTTAACCTTATTTTGTTAGTTGTCATGTTTTTTAGGATAATGTGCAATGTTCATAATGCAAAGTGTCAGAAAATTCAGCGGCATTTTAAATAGGTTTTGGTTTAATGTGATTAACAAGTTCAAATAATATCATATAGGCAGTATGTCTTTCTGATAATGTTTAACCGTAAATTAAACTGTGCTTGGTTTGAACTTGTTTTCTAAGTGTTTTTACCTTTTAGACTAGTTAATTAGTTTTAACCTCTGTTTAAAAGTCAGGGCAATTCATGGATAGGATCATCCCCAGTAATAATATACACGATGGCCCTCATTTATAAATGAACATACAACAGAAAATTAGGCGTATGGTCACTTCCATGCAAAGCTTTGCATTTATCAATATCAGGTCTTAACTTGTGTACACAAGTTTGAGTCAGTGTGGACATGAATCATAATAGACCCTTTTACTGTTAGTAAACAAACACAGTCTGTCTGAGGAGATGGAGCAGCAGAGCACCGAGCAGAGTGAATATGTGATTAACTTAACTGTTTGTTAATTCGTATAAATATAATGCTCTGTCATTTTAGTGTAGAGTGTCAGAAAAAGAAAACACTGACCAACAGGACCAGACTGGCCGACCCGTACACTCTCACTCAGTGGATGGATGATGTCACAGGAAGCTTTGTGGTTGATTACTATGCCAATCTTACAAAGGAGGACGACACTTGAACGGTTTCTTCCAGTTAGTTTTGCTGTCGAAGCTAACGTTAGCTAATGCGCATTAGCTAACGTTAGCTAATGCGCTACAGAGAAATCCAATATTCCTTTTAATACCTCCCCAATTTCTGATTAGGCGAACATGAAACCCCTTGATACACATAACGTTATTCATCCCTACAACAGGAAATACTTTTTCCCTAACCTGATATGAAGTGTGAGCATTTTTGATCATCGCCTCCATCCAGTTCTTTTGTCTTATTGCATTTAACCATAGTTGTCTTTGTTTTTGTTGACCGGCAGTGGCGGCTGGTATGAGATAAAATAAGTTTTGAGCCATGACTCCTTCTATTCTGGCTCCCAATAACACAACAAGAGGACATTTTAAGACTCCTATGTAGCCTACAGCCCTGTGGTGGAGAGTCTTGTTTTGCCTCCAGCTAATAAAATGACGCCGGCTCTAAAAGGGTCTATTAGACCATATTCTGACTGGCATCTAAGTTTTTTTTTTTTTTTTTAGCTGTCACATGGATGTTTGCTCTCATTCACAGCTTGTGGTTGCCAGACTCTTTGGGGCTGGCTCCAGGCTGACTGAAGGATGAACACCACTGATGTCCAGCTGTAATATATCTAAAACTTTTTTTTTCAAACACTGACAAGCCAATGCATGTTTATATCATTTATTATTTAAACATTGTTAAAAATAAATACAGGGTGATTATTTTAATACTAATAGCATAGGTGATTACATTTTTACCGCTCCAGCTTAGACACACACGTGTGTCTCCTCCACCACCAAATGGAAGTAGACCCGATACATGCATACACGCATTCCTCGGTCTTGAACGATTATAAGCATTCATGTAAATATTATAGCAGTATCAGTATTATATAGGCTAATATTATTAATGTATGTAGGCTATTGATCTGTACATGCACATTAAACGGTCCATTTTCCACTGCAACACTTGATTTCCCTACTTCATTTTTCTGACTTCCTTTGATGCCACTTTTCTGGCTGCCAGAACCAGTTGGTTAAATTTGACGCTAAGACGTCAGTGTCTCTATTTCTAACTCAAAGAAATCTCTCTTCCTGACAATACTAAGCCCCTCCATATTGTAAACTCTCGGGGCAAGGCCTTTGAACTGAGAATATACTGGGGCAGGATCTAAATGACTATTGTTTTCAGCTGCTACATTTATCAACGCCTGTTCATTCCTGTGCTGTGATTGGCGAACTGACAATGTTTCAAATGTGATCAGCTATTGTTATCTGATTTCTGTGTTTGGATTTTACACAAAATTATGTAAGAAATAAGTAAAAATCCTGAGCCAAACAGGTCCTATTTGTGTAAATTCTCACTTGAGCAGGGGGTTGAAAATATTTGAACTCATCCATTTTAAATCAAATCACTGGAAACTGTTGGTGTTACTGTTCTTCACAAGTTACACTGTAATGCATGTGGTTGGTTCGAGGTTACTAAATTGGGGTTTCTGGTAGGCCTATTCAGTAATCCATCCATGATAATTAGCAGCCAACCTTAGTGCATTTGTCATTGTTGTAATGAAAATTGCTCTGTTACTCATACTCATACTTGCAGTCTTGATTATATCAGATGCAGGTACTCTTCAAAATAAAACTGATCTTTATAGTAACTCATTTTAATTTAGTGCAGTGGGTAAAATGGACCATTTGTTTTCACTTATATACAAACCTGAGATGACTCTTGTGAACTCTTATTTAAAACAGTATCAATACCAATCAGTGAAAACATAAGAAGAAACACTTCACTTTCATTCAAGTATCGTGAGAATTAAAAAAGTGTACACAAACCAGTGAAAACACTAAATTCTATCTGCACAGAATAAATCAGAATAAGTAACTTCTACTTACCCATCATGCTTTCAAAAAATAGAAATCAGTTAAAAAAAGTACTCGGATCTTGAGGATGTTGTGACTGCATGTCTTTTCTTTTGCCTTTCACTTTGTTTTGCAACCCGTCTGACTTGTTTCTTGGCAGCAGGCTAATGGGATGAGCATATGTCATAGTGCACTTCTATTTTTACACAATAATGAGCATCAGCTCTGTTGCATGCAACTTATTCTCAACAATTTAGTTACATAAGATATCTCCAACACTCATCAATTGCAATCTAGAGTGATAAATAGCACGACAGATAAGATGAAAAATATGTATTTTCGACACCTTCTCACTCCCAACTCATTAAATATCACAGTTTGGTCAGTTTCACGTCTACATATGACGTGCAAGGTATCCTGGGGTTGTTGATGTTCCTGGACGCAGAATCAATTTACGCCTGTTACATCACTGTGTCATTAAAAAAAAAAAAAAACATTTACTTTTTTTACAGGAGCTGTACAGTTTCTGCTTGTTAGATGCATACAGTCTTTTTTCAAAATAAACTCACAAGTCGGTAAAACACCATGTATTTACATTTATTTCCTTGTGCAACAAAAGCATATGGTTAGGTTTTAGAAAAAAAACATAATGGTTTGGCTCAGCACTCAAACAGGAAAAACACATCGAGCTCCTGGGTAAAAGTCCGATGTTTGATGACTTCGGAGTGAGAATGGGTTGGTATTTTGGATTTAGTTAAATAAGTTGTAAGATAAGACATTTATGATATAAGAATAATATAATATTGAGACAGTTTAATAAGATACCTTGATTCTTGTACAGTCATGTAAACAATACAATCGTCCTACTTTTGCCAAATCAGACTGACACTGTTGTGGATTTGTTATGCTAAAAGGGACAACCCAATCAAATACCAATATCACAAATGAAATTCTTCGCCCTTATTATTATAATTCAAAACAGACTGGAGCAACTTTTGCTTTCTCAGCTAAAGTCAATCAATTAGCTGTGTTTCACCATAAATGTAAATGTGGCCAGTCAGATTAGTCCGTTGAATAGTACACAGTGAAACCACATGATTTTAGAAACCTCACATGAATTTGGGGTGAATATATGGCTGCACTGTGGTTATCAAATAACTCAATTCAGGGTGGAACTATTTAGATACAATATATAAATGACATTTCGTTGTGCAGTGATGTTTGGCATTCTGTTATATTTGCTTTTTGACTTCAGGTTTAACTTACTGAATCATGATATCAAGCTGCTCTCTAGTGGGCAGGTGATGCAACTGCAGCATTTAAAGTGCCCTCAGATAGTTTCTTGTTTGGGCCTAATTTATGTAATATCTCCTTTAGAAAGTCACTTCAGTCATAATCCTTTATGAGACCTTTAATAATCAAATAGTTTATTTGTGTTGGTCTATGACTTAACTATAGCTGATAAGCAAGAGTTTTCAGTCTTACAGTGAGTGTCAGTGGAGAAGGGGGAATAAACTACCAGACCGGAGTTGAGTCTAATCCAGTGTTTTATTGTTTGATTTGGTTTTTACATTTGATCAGAAAGTTTTCAGAATACAAAGGATTACGAGAATAAAATGGAAAATTATTCTCTGATGTGTCACAAAGTCTTCATCCATCAGTTTCAGAGTATCATTTCATTCAACAGTTCTTTTGTTGTACACCACTGTCCCTCTCTCCCTTCCATTAATCCTGTTATTCTGCACTTTAATCCATTTTCATCAGTTAAAATTCCACAATAAAACAGTATTTAGACAAACTGTAGCAACACTGACCCTGTTAAAAGCAAACAATACTCTAAAAACTCAGTGTACTTCTTTTGTTACACAAATGTTTTGCATTCATAAAAAGGCACAAGTTCTGTTGCATTTTAAAAAGCTGCACATCAGCTACAAGAAAAATGTCGCTTTTTTCTTCAATTTCTTCGAATGCTTGGATAAATGTATAACATATTCAGATTAAAAAAAATCAAGAAAGAAACACATTTTCTCCACAACTCACTTTTTTAAATTATAAAGTAGAGAATATAAAACAGAAAATAATATATGTGACTATTTAATGAACATAGAAAGTGGTGTGGCAAAGTGATACAACAATGAATTGATTAAATAAATGTTAATGATTAAAAAATAAAATGGTAAATAAGATAATGTGAAAGAAAAAGTTCAATAAGAGCTAGCAACCAGCAAATTATGGGTTAATCAACCACCTGAACCCAACCAGAGCCGCATTATATTCATTATTATGCATTATAGTAGCACAAATCAAGAGTGAGGACAGAGACACAAAGACATCACAGACTGAGTGCCGCAGTGTTAATTTTGGCAGCTATTAGATTTAGTCTCAGTTTTAGTCACGTTGTGATCATTTTTAATCCTTCATAGCTTTAGTCTAGTTTTAGTTGACAAAAATTCAAGACATTTTTGTCAACTTTTAGTCATTACTTCATGTAAATCATGTATTAGAAATTAGAACCAAACTGTTTACTTCAGACTAGACTTATAGCACAGCTACGCTCACAGATAACTGAGCCTCCTACCTGCCTGTCAAACAGCATCAAACCATGAACCTTCCCAAGACAGTCTGGACTGAGTGGAGTCCTGCGGGGATCAGATGTAAAGACCAGCCACATGTGGCTACTTGCTCTGCTGCCATTTAGTGGCTAACAAGCGGAGCTGCTGACAGCCACCATTGCAACAAACAAACGCCACAAATCCATTCAACAGCTTCACAGTCAGACACACACGGCTGATTATTTACTACTGAATTAGCTCACAACTCTCGTTGATGGCCGACGCTGCACCGGTGTGAGTGTTTTTGTTGTCTAGCAAAACATCCTGGTGCAGACTATTTACTACTATTTTACCTGTTGCTTATATGGCATTTGTAGATAATTGCAAGCACGACTATTTTAAGCTTTTGATGTCTGATTGTCCACTACTGACATTTTCATCACATCTCGTCAACGAAAAGGAAAAATAGATTTCGTCTTAGTTTTTATTGTCACGATCTATTTTTAGCTCATCGTCTAATTTTTCTCATGGAAAAGAAGTTGTTGACAAATTATTTTCGTCATAGTATTTGTCAGCTAAATTAAATTGGTAGAAAGTGAACTAGGTCTACTGCACGCAATGTTTCTGCAGGTTGTTAACATCTTATTCAGGGTGCTGCTTTGTCACTTTTGATAATTTAATATTTTTCCAGTGAGCTTACATCTTTACCACTGATAATAAGCTGACAACTGGATTTATAACATCTTTAGTACCCCTGGATCAGTCACATATATGTAGAGCTTGTACATTTATTCAGACAACTTTATGACTTTATTAATATTATCTTAAATCATTCCTAATAAAATTGTTTCCATCTTGACTGTTGAAGGGGTTGTTTCAATATAGAAAAAAAAATTGATATCCATAATACTGTATTTCACTTTTTTTCCTCCCTGTATTCTCTGAATTAATTATCATTTTGTGTGCTGAATGTGGCCCTGGGCCACCAGTTGATGATCCCTGCCTTAAAGGAGAAACATAAATTTAGGTCTAAGTTCCAAATATTAATGACTGGTAAAAACTGATGTTACAGCCAGTGACGGTCAAATGAGGCCTCATGAACCACTGTCTTTATTTTCTGAAGCCACCAAATGGAGCTGTCTGTTCAACGAAGACTTGAAAGCACACTTCATTGCAAGTCCTCCAGCCGTCATATTTAAACCAAGAGCGCCATCTGGTGGGGTCAGAAAATAAAGACAGTGGTTCACGAGGCCTCATTTGGTCATCACTGGTTACAGCACCACTATCAAGCCAAACGATTTTGTTTGTTTTCCTTCCAAAGTAATTGCTATATTTTACCATTCACAGAAGTTGGGTTGTTGTAAACCTGATGGTTAGACATTTCTGTGATAGTACTAGCTAAGCAGCAATAGTAACACTAACAACAAACACAGTAATATTACCCCAAACATTTGTACTTGCTCCCAGAATGATAGTAGCAGCATTAAGTAGAAGACAGCCACCAGCAATATGATTCCCCTATGTTGCTGCAGGTCCTTAAGGATGCCTTTAAGTTTTGATTTTACCAATGTTTTTATGCCTAGTGCTGCTGCTACTGCTCCTATTACTACTCCTGCTGCTGCTGCTCCGACCGTTGCTGCTGCTCCTCCCCATCCTGCAGCTGCTGCTCCCCCTCCTGCTGTTGCTGCTCCTCCTCCTGCTGCTGCTCCTCCTCCTGCTGTTGCTCCTCCTTCTGCTGCTGCTGCTGCTGCTCCTCCTCCTGCTGTTGCTCCTCCTTCTGCTGCTGCTGCTGCTGCTGCTGCTGCTTCTCCTCCTGCTGCTGTGACTACACCATCTGCTGCTACTCCTACTGCTGTGGCTACACCATCTACTGCTGCTACTCCTACTGCTGTGGCTACTCCCCCTGCTGCTGTGGTTATACCCCCTGCTCCTGCTGCTCCTCCTGCTGCTGCAGCTACTGTCCCAAAAAATAACCCAAATAGACTACCTAGAAATCCGCCACCTCCTGCTTGTTGTCCCTGTTTTGCTTTCTTCCTTTCTGTTACTTCTTCTGCATCCTTATCTGTAGCTGCTTCTGGCTCTGTTGCAGCTTCTTCTTTTTCTGCTTCTTCTGCTTTGTCTTCTGTTGCTGCCTCCTCTGCTTCATCTTCTGTTCCTGTTGCTGCTTCTTCTGCTTTGTCTTCTGTTGCTGCCTCCTCTGCTTCATCTTCTGTTCCTGTTGCTGCTTCCTCTGCTTCGTCTTCTGTTCCTGTTGCTGCTTCCTCTGCTTCGTCTTTTGTTTCTGTTGCTGCCTCCTCTGCTTCGTCTTCTGTTTCTGTTGCTGCTTCCTCTGCCTCGTCTTCTGTTTCTGTTGCCTCTTCTTCTGTTTCTGTTTCCTCTTCTCTTTCCTCCTTTACTTCTCCTCCTCTGTTTTCTCCCCCAGTTCCCCTCAAATCTATGACAGTCGTGTGGAGTAAAGCCTTCCCCAAGGATTCTGCTGCAGGGCCTGTTAATTTGATCCACACATTCTTGGAGACACTGTTGTCAGCCTTACTGCTGGTGTGTCCTTGTGGCATGTTTCCTAAGGCTGTTCTGTTGCTCTTTTCCTGTATTACTCTGCTCACTGCTTTTAGCATCTCATTGGTGTAGCAGCCTCCTTTGTTTTCCATCAGTATCTTGTCTGTTGTGTTGAGCAGCTCTGCCACCTGGAACCAGTTGCTCCTGTATTCATCCCGTTGGTTGTTTTTCCAGTATTTATTATCAACGACGTGGCATCGGCCACCGCACTTCTTCACCAGGTCGCTGAGACATTTACTCTGATTAACAGACTCCTCAATTTTGACTCCCTCTGGGAGCAGGTCACCATGAGTGAAGACAACAGCCACATACTTCAAAGCTTCCTCAGAAAAATAATGAAACATTTTTGTGACGACAGCTTCGTCATACTTGGTGAATGTTCCCACTTTAAGTACAATGAAAAAAGCATGAGGCCCAGGAGCGCACTCTGTGATACTCCTCACTATCTCACGCTTCAGCTCCTCCTCAGGTCTGTCTGTTTGAAAGAAATCAGGAGTGTCAACCAGGGTAATTCTTCGTCCATGAACAGATTTGGATTCTGCTTGACATTCTCTTGTTCCACAGGTGGAGGAATGCTTAATCTTGAACACATCCTCTCCAAATATGGTGTTTGCTAGGCTGCTTTTCCCTGCTCCAGTTCTTCCCAGCAGGACAATACTGCGTGTTTTTAGCACTAGAGAAGAATAATGATGTAATATTAATACTGTGCATTTGGTGGTGTTGGTTCTATTACCTTGCCACTAGGAGCCTGGGGACATTTCTCAGTTTTAAAAAACTGGCATGCGTATGCACAGCTTTATAAATGTCACAGAAAAAAATTTATATTCTTGTCTTGTGCACACACATCTTAAGTTGTAAATCTACACAGTTTCATGCATCAAGTCCCAGCTCACTGATTTTCTCCATTTTATTCACAATGAGAAAGGTATGTCAGGCTCTATCTTCTTTTGTCAAAGAATTCTGGTGTGTTAATCAAAGACGGTTTGAACTGTGCCTGGAATTAAAGCACTTGTTACTCATCTTTTTTTTTAAAAAAAAAAAGAAAAACGTGTTTCAAATATGTTTTTACCTTTGATACTTTTCCCAGCTCCAGATGTTCCTGCAATGACAATCCTTGCTGGGGACACTAAAGGGAAAAAAAATAATAGAGAGTAACTAATAGGGAACAGTGTATTTGCTTTTGGCTTATTTGCATCTTCTATTACACTGTCCTGTTAGTTTTTGAAGTATTTGGACCTTTCATTTATGTTGTCACTGAAAATCCCTGCACAATGCAAGGGTAGCTCCACTGGTCAGCCAATTCAAGAAATGGTTTTCATGAACATCACTTAATCCAACATGTTCTCATTTGGAGTAGTCACTAGGGATATTCCTGGCGGCTAATTTCCCTGTTGACTGAACGAAAATTTTAATTAAGACTGGTCGACTAGTCTAAATAAGGAAAACACTCAGAAAACAGTCAACATTTAGCACAATTTATTGTTAAGTATTTGAAACATTGTCCCAAATAATATTGTGTGCATTAAGACCCCTTTGAAGCCTTTAATCGCAATCCTTAACAACCATGTTGGATTTTAAATGCCGCTGAAGTACAGGACACTTTGCACTGTATGGTGTGAATGTAAACATTAACATTCAGGCTCAAAATATTGCATTAAGTTCCTAAAGCCTTTACCTTCAAAAAAGTTAAGTGGAAGCATATCTTGTGAGGTCATTGCCGTGATGGGCTGCTATCTTGCCAGACATCACTGCAGGGAGGGGGACTGCTGTCTGACAGCTCTGTAGCCCCCACCAGTGGCGGGCAGTTGCATGACAGTGTATGAATAAAGCACTAGTTGGTTTAACCAACTAATATTTCTGGTGTGGACTACCGAGGGGGCGGACGTTTTATCGTTTAGACAACTTATCGTGCGCATCCCGAGTCATCACATATTGCAGCTTTGTCAGTGGACTTTCTCATCTACATATTAAGTGCTAGGTATCCTTCGATGTCTGATGTTGACGTTCTGGGACAAGACGTCAACATAAGCATGTGGCTAGATTATTAGATTTTTTGTTGTTCAGAATTAGCTTGACTTGTGGGCAAAATGTCACAAAAATGCTTCCATTATTTTTTTTGCTCTAACAGTGAGCACCTTTTACCTGACACGGTTGTTCCTCCTCTTCCAGTTATGACCACACCTCCTCCTTCAGCCTCTCGTACTGGTGCTATTGGCACTATTGCTGTGTCTTCTTCTGCTGCTTCTGCTACTCTTCTCGCTCCCTTGTTTTCCTGCAAAACTACAACAGCTGGCCCAAAGAAAGCTTTTGACAGTGATTCTGCAGCAGGGCCTTTCAGTTTGATCCACGTGCTCTTGGAGACACTGTTGTTAGCCTTATCGCTGGTCTCTTCCTTTGGCATGCTTCCTGCTGATTGGCTCCCTGTTGTCCGCACTATAGAAGACAAATGGCAATGTATAACTAAGATCGTACATTTGTGTCTGGACATTCTTCTATTTGTTTGAGAAAGTTAAGAGAACTAAAGCTCAGTTCAGGCCAATGATTCACAATGAGACAAAACCATCATAGAATGTTGCAGAGAAAAGTTGCCGCCGTCTGAACTGGCTGTCTGAGCTCAACTCAAGCCGGCTGATGGTTTCACCTGCAACTCATCTGGTCAAATCACCGGCGGCTTGTTTTAGAACCTAAGGCTGGTCACCTATTCCAACAGACATTTCCCTTGTCTTGAAGTCCACTGGTTAAGTCAAAGTAACCACAGATGGTGTGTTTGCTTGCTGCGGCAGGTGCTCCATCCCTGCAGAGCCCTCTGTTTCCATCCTAACGGTGTGCCGCTGTTGGATGATGGGTCACTGCTGCTGCTTGCTATATGTGCCTAAGGTGTTTACTTAACAGCAGCTTCTCACTGGAAACTGTGATTTTGTGCAGACTTACTGTATACAGATTGCAGCCACTAATGTAATGAGTGTCTTTAAAGTGTCAGAGATGTTTGCTTGACACAGCAAATCAAAACAGTGCTTTATCAAAAGTTTACTGGCACTGCTAGTGATGGCTAAATGAGGCCTCATGAGCCACTGTCTTTATTTTCTGAAGCCACCAGATGGCGCTGTCTGTTCAACAAAGGTTTGAAAGCACACTTCATTGCAAGTCCTTCAGCCTTTATCTTTAATCCAAGAGCACCATCTGGTGGGGTCAGAAAATAAAGACAGTGGTTCATGAGGCTTTATTTGGCCATCACTAGTATATGCCTCATTTGCTAACAGCTAGCTATTTGGGACCAGGCTATTTCCCGGAACAAAAGTGATAATTCCAAAAATTTGATCAGGGATACTTGAAATGTTGAAGTTTGCCACAAAGCAACATCTCCGGCCTCTCTTTCTTCATCTGTTGTTTAATGTATTGTAGCAAGTAACAGTTAAGAGGGGTCTCCTCTCAATACTCTACACACTGTGTGCATAATGCACGATTGATAAATATGTCCTGTAGATCTCAGTAGATCTCAGTAGCTAACACTGCATTTTATTGAGTCCTCAGCAATACACCCTCCAAGTCTAAAGTGTTAAAATCAGAGGGCATACAGACAGAGACTCCTTCCATTTTAGTTAGATTTATTTCTCAAATTTCTGCGTATATATAAATATATTGGGGTTTTTTTTATACATGCACATTTGCAGGTTTCGTGTGCAGTACCTGTTCAAAACCTGCCTGTTCAGAACAACAACTCTAATTGGTTGGCCTGTGGTATTGCTGCTTGAAGCTCTCTCGAATGCTTAATGATAATAACCAGAGGAAGTAAACTTAACTTACCGTCCATGTTGTTAAAAGAGGAATCAGTGAAGAGTAAAAATCGGTTGAATCTACAAGATGACCGTTGTGTGTGTCTTTTTGCATGTGCTCTGACGCAGCTTTATTCCAGTTTCACTTTTGCTTTTTGAGTGTTTGTGTGTGTGTGTGTGTGTGTGTGTGTGTGTTTGTGGAGTTGGGGGATGGGTGGAGCTTTTTCAAAAGGATACAATGACTGATTTTTAAAGGGCAGACAGACATAGCACACACTTGTTGATTTACATTTATTGAATATCTTGCCTATAATAGACATAATAATCATTTGATCTCTGGTCTGTGTTACAGTTTACAGTGTATGTTATACACCCCGAAAATACAGTGTACTTTTTAAAAAATATAAATGTTTGTATTAATAATAGGATAAGTAATACATTTGTAGTAAGTCTCACACTTAATAGAAATAAAATTAAAACTAGAAATACCACCTGGTATTTGTATGCCTCCACACACCAGTTAGTTTCTCTTACAGTTTACATCCATGTCTTAAAATATGGATGCTCTGAACACATTTTGAACCCAGCAGCACAGAAGACCTATAGAGTCAACAGACATTTCCCTTGTCTTGAAGTCCGCTGAGTCAGTACAGTTTCAAAGTGGACACCCAAGATTAATGTCACCAACTTAGTATCTGACCAAATGTCTCCCCTTCTGTTCCTGGGATATGATGTTGAGTAATGCCAGAAAAGGGTTTTTGCACATTATGATGTCACAGTGAAGCTGACCTTTGACCTTTTGGATATAAAATGTCATCACTTCATGTAATTTTATCCTATCTATTCATTTTTTCCTTGTGAGGTCACACTCACTTTAACCTTTGACCTTTGACCACCAAATTCTAATCAGTTTATTCTTTCGTCCAAGTGGACATCTGTGCAAAATTTTAAGAAATTCTCTTATGATGACCCTGAGATATCTCGTTAACAAAAATTAGACAGACAAGGTGACCTTGACCTTTGACCCTCAAAATCTGGTTAGTTCATTGCTGAGTCCAAAAGGGATGTTTGTGCCAAATTTGAAGACATTTTCTCAAAATAATCCTGAGAAATCACGTTTACAAAATTAGACAGATGAGGTCACAGTGACCTTGACCTTTGACCACCAAAATGTATTTGAAAAAAATTATTTGGGGAGTTTTCAGATATGGCTTTCATGAGAATGCAACAGATGGATGAACGTACGTACATATGGTCAACCCAAAAACATGATGCCTTTGGCTACAGCTATCACTGGTGTGGAAGCATAAAAATTGATGTTACAGCGCCCCTTTTTAAGCCAACCAATTTGTTTTGTTTCCCTACCAGAGTAATTGCTGATACTTTGCCATTTACAGACATTGGGTGGTTGTTAACCTTCGATAATAGCAAGAACACTAACAAAAACAAAGCTAATACTTAAATCAACAAGAACAAGGTGTCTTCAATTCATACATGGGCATCAAGGGCTCAACAATTACTTTTAAAAGTGGCTACCAGGCTGGTGAAGTTGTGGAGTGAACCAGAGTCAGTGTTAAATTCAGTATGTGTGTGATCCACTAGCTGGCTCTTTTATTAGTGTCGAGTCTTAATTTTTGAAATGGTTCACAGTCTCCTCCCATCCATATTTATGGATTATGCAGATGCTGGATTGACAATCATACTGTTGTGACACCTTTTATCTTGTCTTTAGAGTTATGTGTTTTTTTGGACAGATGAAAAATTGGTAGTCACATTTTTTAAAGGGAAAGGAATCTAGCTGTAGTCAGTGTGACAGTGTGAGACTAAAAACTCACTCACTCCACTCACAAGACCCCTCGAGGGACGTGGTTGTAAGCCTTCTCCAGGTCCACTTTGGTAATCACCTGACTTTTTATCTTGCTCCACCCTGAGGTTTATATTTGTGGTTTCGAGTGAAATATTGACAACCATTGAATGGACTACTATGAAACTAGGTACATGCATCTACCAGTATGTTTCCTTCAGGATCAATGGCAATAACTTTAGAGACTCTTTGACTTTTCATCTAGCGACACCTTCTGGTGACACAAACATGCTAAACTGCAAAAGTTAAAAAGTAAGATGGTGAACTAGGTAAACATTATTTACCAAAAAACATCAACATATTTGCCGAGCCATTGTGAGCTTGTTAGCATGCTGATTTTAGCGATTAGCTTAAGCACCACTGAGCTTCAGTACAGTCTGAAGGAGCTGCTAGCATGGCTGTAGACTTCAGTGTTTCCCATTAATTAAAGAAACTATGGCGGTCCGCATAGTTTAATTTGACCCGCCATAGTTTCTAAATGAAAGATTTAGGCTGCCGAAAGTATTGACTTCTCATGATATAAATAATATCTCGAACGCCGTAGCGTTTTGTGCCGATGTGCTCAGGCTGTCAGATCCAGCGCTCGACAGTGGGAGCGTTTCACTCCACTAAAAATACGTGTGTGCGAACTGTAAAAAATATTTAGGGGCACATGTGCGCATAAAAAAAAATCAGCCAAGCAGCCTATATTTTTGTCAATAAAAATATATGATAATCTAACCGCAAATGTTGGAGGAACTCCAGCCGCCTTCCCTCTTCCCCGTGTGACACGGTTATGGGCGGTTTTCCAAGCCACTGTCGGCACAATGAATATAAGTCCCACTGTCGGCTGGGTGGAAATAAGTCAAAG